GTCTCCTTGACATTCCTCAACTATACCAAGCACTGCTTCACCTCACAACCTTTGCAATTTCGGATTTCCCCTGCCTGGAATACTGCCCTCCTCCCCTAACCCCATCTTTATGTCCACAGGACTAGCTCCTTCACTTCTTTCAGGACTTAATCCAAATGTCACTTGTTAGTGAGGCCTTTCCTGGCTTTTCAATTTAAAATTTCACTCCTTTCTCAGATTTTCTATCCCCCTTCTCTGCTTTATTTTTTTCCCTTTAGCACTTAACATTATCTAATTTATTATATACTTTACTGATTTATCTTGATTATTGTCTGCCTCCATCTCTAGAGCAAAATTTCCACAAGTGTGATTTTTGATTGTTCACTGCTACATTTCCAGCACCTAGAATAGTGTCTGGCACAAAGTAGGTACTTAATAAATTACTTGTAAGTTAATGAATAAGTAGATAATAGAATATGAATTTTCAATGATAACTCAAAGAAAGTAGAATGATATAAAATGAGCGTGTAAAGAACAAATCTTCAAGTTAAAGCACTTGCTAGAGTAATGAGCAATGAATCCTTTGCATTTAGAAGAGCAGTTATTCTTGCAACATGTCTTAAGGAAAAAGGCTGTAAATGAACCCTATACACCTAGCTTCCTTATATACCCAAAACTTTGAAACCTACTTTCCAAGTTTGCTATAAATATATCTGTTACCTCTGCAAATTTCTAATCTTTCAAGTCTCTGCAGTTTAAGAACTGTATTTCTAAAAAAAAAACAAACTTCATATGTTCAACATCTGAGTAAAAAATTTACTCTGAATGCTTTTACTAAGGCATGCTTAATCAGATTGTCCATTTTCATTATATTTTGAAGAAGCCAAGATGAATTATTTTATTAATTCCACAGCTATTTATTTATATACAAGGCACTAGGCTTAGTGCTTTAAGAGTACATAAAAGACAATGCTTATCCTCAAGACAGTTTCTAGCACAGAGGATATGTATCTATATATACATATATACACACACGCATAATACAAGTTAGAAAATGATGTGCACTAAAGCTTTACCTCCCTCTTCAACATTTTGTTAAATTTAAGAATTCTAAAATTAAACAATTTGATCACCCTGTAGTTAATTAGCCCATCTGGAATATTATTTTATTCTTTACTTTAAAAATTACTTTTATGTTCACCCTACCAATATTTTCTGGTGTATCATTTTGATTCATGAATATTTTCAGTGATAAATCCTATACAAAGGTGCATATCAATTAATTTCAAAGCATTTAAAAAAGATGTTCTTTGTGTACTGTTAGGCACTGAAGTACTCTTGCTAACAAATTCATGAAAACAAAGAGTTTATCTAATTTCTTACAAAACTAGTACTGTTATGGGCTCCTTTTACCGTTCCCGCCTATGCAATTATTCATCCTCATCAAGCTTTGTGCATCTGCTTTGTTAGTTATTGATTCGTGCTGCGCCTGCTTAGTATTTCCACTGGGCACAGCATCTGCAGCTGTCCACTTGGCTGCTTTTGAGTCAGCTTTGTTTTTACATATCTGCCAGAACAATGAACAATTCCATCTTTCTGAGAAAGTTCCTTTATACCTGTTTCTATATCAACTCCATTTTCAAAGCACTGATTGCAAAATAAAATTAAGAACTGTTAAAACTGCTCTTAATTTGTGTGTCTCTAAGGATATGCCTCCCCCCTTTTTAAAGTTTTATTAAAGTTGTCCAATAATAGCCAAAAATGCTACTGCAGTTTTCCTACGGCAGCATTATTCTTCACTATTTTATGGTTATTTAAAAATTTTTTTTTATTTGTTATTGTATTACTTAATTATTTTATTTTCGGGGGGGAATAAGTAGGTTTGTTTATTTTTTGTGGAGGTACTGGGGATTGAATCCAGGACCTCATGCATGCTAAGCATGCGCTCTACCACTTGAACTATACCTTCCCCTTTTTATGGTTATTTTTATGTTCACGACCAACATCATATTGTGGATCATTTTGACTTCTGAATCTCTTTTATGGTAATTTCCATTAAATTTTAGACACAGAAATGATAGGAGAACAGTTATTATCATAGAAATATTGTTCTTTTATGTGTAGTGAGATTTTTATGTTATGGATAAAGATCTTATATTTTTCTAATTTTATCAGCAACTTTGTTTAACTCATATGTTAATTTGTATATTCCATGTACAAACTTCACGGCAAGCTATTCATAACTGGTGGAGTTCCAGGATAATAAAAGTCAATCAAAACATTTCTGTAGAGAGAAGATCAGACTCTTTTAAGGAAAAAAAGATTAACATCTTCCTTTTTAAAAGCTTAGAATACATCTGATCATTAACTTTGAATGGGGAAGCTGGGTAGTAAAGTCCAAGAAAGAGGAAAATAAAGATGGTGAAGACTTGGAAAAGGTTGTCAGTAATGTTAGTAAGCATTGCTAGTGCCAGTGGAGAGACAATTAACTATAATATTTGACTTTCTACAGCAAAAGTTCATTTTGTTGAGAGCAGATCAGGTATGTATTATGCTTGAAACTGATAAACAGTGTAATTTCTTAAGGGGATGTTATATTAGTAA